CAGTCATTGGATGAATAAAGTTGGTGGGTTTGCTAGTTGGTTGCATCTATGTATTTTGTTTTAATTTCTGCCTGGATGCTTCCCCTTGCCATGAGGGGTTTAGAGTAGAAAAAAATATTGTGGACCTGCTACTTTTCTGTGGGAGAAGATCATATATATCATCCATATCCTGCCATTGCTGTAATTCTGTATTTCCTATGTGATTCGTCTATCATTTCTCAGACTGCAGAAAGTTCTAATACTGAAGAGGAGTTTAGTTTCCACAGGAAAAATATGCTTTTAGATAGTGCTGCATTGATGTCTTTTTTCCCCCTTTTTTTCTCTTAATGGATGGGGTTCTGGTACAGGCAGTCATATGTCAGAAAAATGAACCTATTAAGATACCTGTATTCAAGTATAAACTTTACAATAGTTCATGGTCTTCTTGTGTTTGTGATCACTTTTAATCATTGTTAAAATTCTGGCTATAATCTTATTGTTGTAATGTGGCCTAACAAAATAATGTAAATATCATAAAATGAAAGTTAATATTTTAGCCTTATGATGTTATAGTGACATTCTTTGCTTGTATTAAAAAAAATAAAAACTCTGCAAATGTTATTACAGTGAACGGGTGCCATCCTTCAAATAGTTACCTATGACAGCTACATCACACCCTAGTATGGACAGAATGTAATGGGATATACTACTCATTAGAACTGTGTAGTACTTCAGATTCAGTTCCAGAATGGTGGCCTGTAGCACACCATGGTGAAAACATAGCACCTTTCTGTAATTCTTTAAAGCAGCTGAAATTTTCCCAGTATCTTTTTCTGGGCTGCCACTGAGCTGTAGTGAGGAATTTGCAGGGGCATTTAAGAGTTGCAGACAGGTGCTGTGCTTTAGAATTGAAACTGAAACATTGCAGAGTCCTGCTACTTAGTTACCTCAGTACTGAGAGTAAGTATAGTGTAGCAGTCACGGGGTTGAACCAGAAATGGGAGACCCAGATTCAAATCTGTCTTGAACCATTGAAGGACATTGGGTGATTGAGCCAGTCATTCTCTTTCACCTATCTCACAGGGTTGTTGTGATGAAAATAGGTTTTGTGCTTTGCATAGGTATACGTGCGTACAGATAAAAATACTAGCTACTAGTTGGAAAGCCAATTCCAATTCCGTTTGTAGCTAACAACAGAAAAATAGTAAGTGGACAGTGCTAAGATTCATCCATTTGGAAAAAGCTTTCTCTCCATGTGAAGTCTGTTTTGCTTCCTTCTGTCCTCTTCTTCAGCAGTGGCCATGCCTGCCAAAAAAATATTTCAGCCAGACACTAATTCTCACTGTAAACATATATGTGTTCCAACTCTCGGGAAAAAAGTCCCCACAGGGCCAACTGACAGCATTTTGGTGCCCCACCCAGATCAACACAGCTCTCCCCACCACTCCACTACTACCACTGCAGTTTAAGGTGCCGCATTTTAAAAAGGAAGAAAAAAGAAGGGTTGCTTTGTAGCTTGATTTATTGGGAAAAGTTGTGAAATGTTCCAGACTTCTCTTTTAGTCCTTGTCTGACTTCTTACTTCTGAATCACTAGCTCAACTGCCTTATTCCATTCCCCAGCCCTCATGGCGAATGACTTCTCCCACAAACTCTATGGCTAGATGTTCTCAGCTTGGTGCATTCCAGTTGTATTGCAGTACAACTTCCCCAGTCTACATCATCATGCTCACTTGGGGGGGTCTGGAGCTATGGTCTGAAACATTTGAAAGACTCCAAACTGAGAGAAGGCTATAGACTAAGTGAAAAAGCAAAATACTGGTGGGTGTACAGGAGTTGCTGCTAAAGCAAAAAAACAAACGAAACAACAACCCCTGGAATAAATTAGTTTGGGGGGGGAATTTGTTTTAACTTGGATTTTTTTGGAGAAAAAGGGTGCTGGGTGCCTTGTGATGGGGAAGGAGAGCCGGTATTTTAATTTTCAAGAAGACCTGTGAGGAAATAATTCTTGCAGGGAAACAATGCAATGTGTAGTATTAGCTCTTAATTGTGTGGGAGAGACTGACTCCCATTTGCTGTATGGAAAAGAAAAGACACTGTATGTGTTCAGAGACACTTTTGCTGTATTCCCTTCCTGGTGCCCTCCAGATGTGGAGGTGCTGATAGGAAATTCTGGCAGTTGTGATACAGCAGACATGGAGGGTGCTAAATTCAGGAAGTCTGGCTTGGATTATCTTGTGACCCCCAGTTCTTAAATGTTCCAGAGATTGTTGCAGAAAACTTTGCTGGCCAAGGAGCTGCTGTCGGGGCACATCCTGTACCTTTGGAAGAGCCATTTGTTTTGCAACATAGCTGACTTCATAGCTGTGTTGTCTTTCAGAGTTTGTGTACAGCACCTTCTACAAAAATGAATGATTACTAACGGTTGTTAATATTCTGTCTTCCTGATGCCTTTTGTTCAAGTGAAAGATCAATAGTGGTATTCATCATATGGGGTATTGATCTGGGTGTAAAAGATCTGCATTCCACATTGAGAGTGTGGGACTGGAAAGACAGGAAAGAAGCTGTCTAAGGATTGTATAATAACATGGAGAAGATGTATAATAACATGGGGAAGAATTGAGATTTTCTTTTTTTTAAATTGTCCTTCTGACTCTTAGAAATTGATCCTTTATTTTACTGACCTTTTTTCAAATGGAAACCAATGCAGAATGTCAACATCCATTTTTGTACATTTAAAACTCCCTCTTGTCTTGGAATTTTTTGGTGATTAGATGGTTTCCACGGTTGCAGCCTTTTTAGCACCTTTTTTAAAATATTATTTCTAGTATTCTGAAGTCTAGCTAGATTTAGTGAAAGAATTTTTTTTCTCACTTATCTTATTGGAATGTATTTACAATGTCATGGTATGTTTCTATAGCTGCTCTGATTAACTGTTGCCTTCCTAAAATGAGAAAATGGGCCCCTTGACTGACTATTTCTTTTCCCAATGTGCCTCATACAACAAAACATCTTGGCCTGGCCCTGTTCTTTCTTGAATGGAAGATTGTCTGGATCAGATATGCGCTTGTCGAAAATCAGGATCTACTACTAGGTTTCCAGGTGATTTGCTAGACATTTCTTAGTGATTTGGGATAACTTGGGAAGGGTTTCTAAGTAGCAATCTTCTATTCCATGTCCCATCCTACCAGTAGCAAGCTGCTTAAAATGTAACCAAGCAAACAAAACAGGAGTGGATTTTGATATAGAAAACCTGTGACCTTAGTGCTCATGTGGAAGCTGACAGAGTGTCCAGTACCTTAATTCTAAGCATAATTATAATTTCTCTTAATTTTTGTATGTGACTCCACCTGTTGGATCTTGAAGTTCAAGAAAAAACAGTGTCGATCCTGCAGGCTTGAAGTCGCCCCATTGTTAATCTCTATAGCAAATAAATTCCATGGCTTGGCTTGGCTCGGTTCGGCTTTTCTGTCCTTGACAGCCTTTGGAATATTACAGTGTACATAGGTGCTTTCCTGATTTATAGCCAGTGAATTAGCCACCAGTTGCTTGGAATGATTTGTTTATTGATTGTAGAAGCCATTTAATTTCAAGTGTGGCATTTTTTGGTCAAAATCATTATTGCTTTCACTATTGACAGTTTATGAGGAATGACATTGCTAATATGATAATACAGCTTGATTCAGAGACAGGCCATGTGGCAAGACGATGTAGCCCTTACCTTGTTTTCTCAGTTGGCTTTCAGATTTTAATAAATCATATGAGAGCTTAGTTGTGTGGTGGCTCAGTGTGCAAACAGAGTGGAAAGAAGGAATTGTCCACTTAAATGCAGTGGTCAGTCTAATTTCCATAACTACTCTCAGAGGCTTGTGTGTGTTTTTCTCAGTTATGGTCAGATGGTGTCACTCTTGAGAATTGTAGCTTAATTCATTTCAATGATGAAATAAGGTGTTGGATAGTATTAATAGTGTTAGTTTTATCCTTTCCATACAATGGTCATCTTTTTTCTTTTTTGTGTCCAAGTAGTAAATATGGGTTTGTTATTTGGTATAATCCATATATCTTTCTCCTGGTTTGGAAGATGCTGCAGTTACATTGCTCCAGTAGTCAAACTGTAGTGTAAATTCATTTTCAAATATCGCAATGAGTAACTGAGCCAAATTTAAATGAAAATGTATTGCTGCAGACTCAGGATTACTTACTAAAACACATAGAATACTTCCTTGGGATTGTATGGAATGTAGAATGGCAAAACGTGTCACATGTTAGGGGAAGATCAACAAAATATAATGGCCCAGTTGCATTGCTCTACTTTTGGAGAACATCCAAGACAATACTTTTTGGCCAGGTAAGTGATTCCTCCCTCATGTGTTGGGCTACAACCCCCCATCACCCACAGCCGTGTCCTTTGGGGTATGTTTACAAGTTTCAGGGAAGTTCTCTATTTCTTCTCTGTTTCTTCTCTATTCCTGTGTGAATGCATATCTGAGGAGAGAGAGCCCTGAAGAACATCTACACTGTCCTCCCTTTTCTGCCATAGTCAGTGATGTGGAACCAGGTACTGTAGACAGTTTTGCTAGTTAGGATCTGGGGTGTGAAGACAAACCAACTGTTTATCCATCTGAATTTTACTGGAATTGACTCCACTGGTTGGAAAAGCAGTACATAAAGATGGTAAATTTAAAAAAAGGAAAAGGGGCAGCAGTAGAGCTGTACTGAGCTGTGCAGGAGGATTGTAAAAGTTAAATGATTTTTAACGAATGGAAAATTATGATTTTTTTTCTTGTGGCACCTGAGGTAATATAGAAAAAACTTATTTTGATCTCATTTCTCTAATTTTTCCATCATCTTTTCAGTTACTGCTCCCTCCTACTTCTCCTTGCTTTGCATTGCATTCTGTAGTCCGAAATGTACTGAGGGATAAAATGCAGATTTTGCAGGCTGCTTCTGCTATTTAATAATTAGTTATCTGTTTTGTTCTTTCTCTTCCTCTTTTTTCTTTTTTCCCTTCTCTTTTTGCAGAAGGACGGATGCTAATTCAAGACATTCCTTCCCTGGCCAGCAGAGGGCATCTAGAGAGCACATCTGACTTAGTTGTGGACTCCACCTACTACAGCAGTTTATACCAGCCATCCCTGTATCCTTATTACAACAACCTGTACAACTATTCGCAATATCAAATGGCTGTGGCCACTGAAACCACCTCTGGTGATATGGGAAACCCATTGGTAGGGTCACCTGTTAAGAGCAGCCTCCGAAGCCTCCCAGCAACTTACATGTCAAGCCAGTCAGGAAACCAATGGCAGGTACTGTATAAATGAGTAAAGGCATAGCCTTGTTTGGTAAACCTTAAGATTGTTCGAACTTCTCTGAGCATCACTGGAATTGCTGCAGTTCTGCAGGTTCAAAGTATATGACATCTTCCCTAACTTGATACTCCCCAGGTGTGTTGGGTTAGAACTGCCATTATTCCCAGTTATTATTACTGATTGTCAGTGATGATGGAAATTGTAGTCCAACGCATTTAGAGAGGAGCAGATCAGAAAAGACAAACGGTATTGTCATGCTCACTCTTGTTTTTTTTCCTCCTCAAAATAGGTATATGTTAATTGAGATTCTATCTTTACATTTATTGGGAATATGAGTTTATCAGTTCAGCATCTCAGGAGCCATTTGCTGTTTTGTTTGTTGTTACTGGTTTTGTAATTTTACATACATGTAACTAGTACTAGAGTATTTGACCAGAACTTTAAAATCCCACTTAGTCATGAAGCACATTGGTTGAGCTTGGACGATTAACATGTACTTGGTCAGCCTATCCCACCTCACAGGATTGGTGTGCAGAAAAACGGAATGAGAAAAATCATGTAGTGAGCATCTGCACAGAATAAATGAATAACAGAACTGCTACAGCTGTGGATAAAGAATTGCCATGTTTAATCTGGCCTCATTATCCTATATTTATTATAAAAACAGGGACTTGGGCCTTGCATTGGTGGGAATTCTGATTAGATGTAAGCCCCACTGAATAAAAGATTCTTGCATGAAGAGCATAAGAAATTGTATGATATACTGATGCAGACTATGTCTCTAATATGATTGGCAATGCTCTTTGACGTTTCAGGCTGGAATTTTTCCAGTTTCTCTCTGGAGATAAAGCCTGGACCATCAGTCTGCAAAGCATCTGTTCTACCACTTGCCTGCAGCCTTAGAGTGATTACACTTCATGCATTTAGGGACCTATCCACATTGTTTTTCAAAGGCAGCCCAAAGAGGAATTGTAATGCCTTCTACAAGAAGGTGATTCTCAGGAACAGGAGTCAAGTCTCAGACAGATGACCTTTGGATTGGAGATACTATAAGAATTTCCCCCTCTTGACAAGGACAATGGTAAAAGAAAAGGCTGCTCAAAGGATTCAAACAGTGATGCTGTCCGTATATGAATTACACATGTGTTTAAAGTTTTATATTTTTTAAAAATGATGTGCCCAGAATTACCACTTTCCTTTCAAGGGCCTCTGTTCTTATTTCTTTCCTGTGGTGATGATTGGGAAGAAAATATGAAATCATTGCCATGAAAGCTGAAAGGAAAAATTAATTGGGTGTACCAAGAGATATATTACATTATTAATTGCAAGAGGTGTTGAGCTTGTTGACCTAAACAACTTGTGTGTGAAGGATTTAAGAAAACTCAGGCATCATTTAAGCACTTTAGAATGTGATTGCTGAATGTAGTTGCTATCTCAGCTAAGAAAGTTACTCCCATCACCTCTACCCTCAACTATTGCCTCAGGTGGGAGTCACCTAAAATGATTTAGATGGCTATGCTAGACATGAGGGTAGCAGCACATGGAAGAAATTGACTGCATGAGAGCCCCCATTTCAGTGCCCCACATCTCTAGTGGCTGATGATACTGGTTCAAAGCCCTTTTACAAAATCTGTAGAATCCTTATAACAGGTTATGATCATTATAAGTTCCTCTTCTTCTACCAATCATGTGAATTCTGAAAATTGCAGTCCCAACATAGGAAAAGGCTAGGTTAAGAGGCGTGTATAGAAATGCTAAGTCAATATTTTAAACCATGGTTTATTGAATAAACCATAGTGGCATAGCTACTGTTATTAGTAGTGGTATTTATTTATCTATTTATTGTATATTTTATAGCATGCCCAAATCTAATGCTGAGTGGGTTACAACACATTAAAAGTTATTTTAAAAAGCAATAGTAATAGTGGCCCCTGCATTCCAGAATGCTTCCCTCTCCCTGAAAATTTTGAGACCCTATTGTACCATCTTTCAGGCCCCTGTTAAAAACCTCTTTCCTTTGCCAGATTCTTTCTTATATAAATGTCAGATGGATTCCAGTCTCCCTCAAGATGGACAACAGTAACAGTTAACTATTAGTATTATTTTTATTTCCCATTTCTCACTTGTGACAGTGTCAACCCTATTTACAGTAAAAGAATTAAAATAAAATAATAGCAAATTAAAAAATAGTATAAACATATTTGTAAAAAAGATGGGAACAAAAGGAAAGCAAAAAGACACCAGCATCCATCTGACATTTATATAAGAAAGAATCTGGCAAAGGAAAGAGGTTTTTAACAGGGGCCTGAAAGATGGTACAATAGTGTCTCAAAATTTCCAGGGGGAGGGAAGCATTCTGGAATGCAGGGGCCACCATAGAGAAGGCCACCAATGAATAATTGCCCGTTTCCCTCACAAGCAGTTCTTCCTTCTTCCTTCCATAACAGTTGTCTGCACAACATTTTTTTTTCTTGTTCAGTTGTGGTGGATTATGTTGGATCAGCCTGGTTGTGATGCTGCAGTAATGGGCGTTCATTTTCTGCTGGTGCACATGGCTCATGCTGGTTTCTCTACTTCAGATGGCTGTTTCACAATTTGAGTGAAGGGCCTATTAGATTCTGATGCTGACCACAGACTGCTTACAGCTCACTCCCAAACCTTAATCCTAATCCTGAAGCCTCCAGTTAGAGCCCTGGCAATTGTCATCCTCTGCTGCAATCACCAGCACTGGGGTTGGAAGCTTCAGAGGAAGGAGAACTGCCCCAAACCTGAGCAGCATATACTGTAGTCTAGTGTTTCTCAACCTCAGCAACTTTAAGATGTGTGGACTTCACCTGTCAGAATTTCCCAGCCAGTCATGCTGGCTGGGGGATTCTGGAAGTTGAAGTCCACACTTCTTAAAGTTGCTGAGGTTGGGAAACGCTGCTGTAATCACTGAAGCAAGGCATGAGCTGTTTGCAGGCAGCATTAACATCAGCAGTGCTGCTGCAGTCTCAGCAATGGTTTTTGGGGGGGGGGGGGGTCCAAGGGCTTCAGAAAAGGAACTTAAAGGCCACAGTTTGCACCCACATTTCTGTCTAAACCTGAAAAGCAGCAGTTCTTCAGATTCTTGAACAATTTGTATTAAGGCCCCCAAATCGAATTAAAATTATTCCACTAGCATTGTCTTTCACCTAATACTTACATGGAATATTTCATAGAAACAGTGTGATAGTCCAGGGTCCAAGATGAAAGTCAAGGAGAGGGTGAAAGCAAATCAGTAACACAATTGAAATAAGAGAAATAGATGGAGCCAGTGGTCCAGTGAGCAAGTGTGCTCACCTAGTTAATCTCTCCTCCTTGGTTCTTCTTGTCAGTTAAAACAGCTAAACAAGACCAGATGGTCCTATCTGTGGTTTGCTTTAGTATTATGCCCAAACCAGGATTGTTTTCTCCTATAAGTGATAGTCATAAGCTAAGAACAAAATCTGGCTTTGGCTTGTTGAGAAAGACACAAGCCAGGATTCATATGGATTTGTTTAGCATAATGGTAAAAAAGCCACATAAGGAAGTTTCTTAATTTGTCTAGCTCTCCCAACTGGGGGAAGAAGCTGCACAGGAATGATCAAGCAGGGCATATCAGACTGCTGGATCATTTCTGTTTAATGTTGTTTGAACTGGTTCAAAACTGCCTTGAAAAAGCCTTGTATAAATTGTTCGTTTATTCCCATATGAAATAGAACAATAGAATGTTGTCAGAGATGTTCTACTGATTGAATGTGAACATTGTTTTTAAATTAGTCATGACTAATCTATAAAATAGCCAATTATAATTTAAATATTGGGTTTAATATTAACATGTTGTTGAATTATCTCAGCAACCTGAATCCATTCTGGTTTGTCATTCAGACAGCATATCATACACTATACAATACAGATTTATGCTAAAAGTAACCTAATGTTTCTGACAGCTCAAGTGTGACATGAATATAATCCATATTTCTTGGAGAAGCTAATCTAAATTGTTTATTTTCCGATACTGCTGATAGGGCTATATCTCTTGGTGTCAGAGTGGTTGAGATTCTGATGGTAACATATTGTTTGTGGATCACTGCTTTTGTCTAAAACAGTAGATTGGAAGAGAATAGCAAAGGTTAATTAAGTTTGTCTGTCAAGGTGGGACAGATACAGATGGCACTTGTAATTTTCAACTTAGAATCCATGGAGGCAAACATAGCATCATTGTATATTTTTTAATGGTGAAAAAGTCACTGGGCTTTAGAATTAAAATTGAAAAGCGATTCTGGTATGAAGATGCTCAGTATGTATGATAATCCTTATTGTATGGTAATTCTGTATTATCCTGGACTCCAGAGCAGTTTCTCCAATTTGTGCAGCCTCCAGATACATTATTTTCAACTTCTAGATCCTCACCAATAGCCATATTGTTTGGGATTCTGAGAGTTGAAATCTTCAGAATTGAAGAGCATTTGTTTGGGATAGGCTGCCCTAGAGCAACCTTTCTTAGCTTCAAACATTTTAGATGTATTGAAATTGCGACTCCCCAAATTCCAGCAAATATGTTTGCTAATATTTTGCTGTTCCAACATATGTAGATGGAGAATGTTTGTGTAGATCAGTGATTCTCATCTTTGGCAGCTAGAAGTTGTGTGGGACTTAAACCCCCCAATTTCCCCCCCCCCCGAGGGTGGGGCGGGGGATAGGTGGGGTGTAGTGGCCCATTCTCCAAAAAGGCTCGAGGTG